TTCATTCTAGAATGAACACCAATTATAACACGAAAACATAAATGTTTAAGACTAAATGGCTTAAATCTAATAACATTATACATTTATATATATACATATATTTTTTTTTTTTATTGACCTTTCAGCTGTGCCTGACTAACAATACAGAAGTTACAATGATGTGGTTCACGTGCACTCATGTTGTTGTATCAAATAACACAAAACTGACCTTTGGTCTGTACAGAGTAACTTGTCTTGGCTGTGTTTTAGTGGACTAGTATTTTGTAAAATACAGTCACATTTCAATTATTATACATTATATATGTATATAGATTATTGCTATTTTGAAATAAGTTCTTAAACTTATTTTTCCTAAAACATAGAACAGTAAATAAAGAATTAAAGCAAACAATTATCTCTTCTAGTTACTGCTTGATGTAGGTTGCTAAGCCCTAAAAAATTTTGTATGTGGAGGATATGAAACAAAATATTTTTTTAGGTTTTATATATACTTTTGAATAATTAAAAAATCATAAATTACTACATCAATACCATAGAATTCTACTATAATTTATCAAACTTAGTAACTAAGCTGTATTTGGGTCTAAAAAAACAATATGAAATTTCAAGCAGATACAACCTACCTCATTGAAATTTTGGTTCAAAAGAAAGAAATGGCATTAGGTACATCAGAAAGGCTGAGAAAACACTAGGGGGACATTCTGAGCTTCAATTGGTTATTCATGTTATATATGAAAGTAATTGTACATAAGGGAGCATTTCCAACAATGAAAAGAGGTGAGCTGGGTACCACTGTGTTTGATTTATTATGTGAGCAATATCTTAGCAAAATGAAAAGATAAGACATTCTTATTTTATATTCTAGCTTGTCAATATCTGAAATTAGAGGTTCTAATTTGTATGAAACTATAGACTTAATATTTTGACTTCACAAACATCTAAATACAACTAGTGCTGCATTCAACATACCACATGACACACAAAAATCAATGTTTATCTGTGTTTATTTTAATATTTACTTTTAAATTAACAAATTGAGTAATGTATAGTTCAAAAATTTGAATTATAATCTACAGTTTGATACCAAATTTATTGACATAAATTCATGAAATAGTAGTTCAAAAAAATTTTGACATGGCCTTTCACCTGTGACCCATCTCGAAATGGTTAAAAGAAAGAAAACTT